TCCTGTTCTCTAACAGCTAAGAATGTTAGAGAGACTGACAGATGTTGGATTAGATGGACAGTGACACTAAAGAAGGATTAAGATGGGGGTGAGGAAAAGGTTAAAACACGGAAGCTTACTTGACTTGCCAGATAAAGAGGCTATAGTAGACATCTACCAAATATCCACTGGGTACTACTGATACACAAGTAGATTTAGGAAATATCTGTAATACATTCTAACTTAATTAACTGCCTAGAGGCCAGAACTGAACACTATTAGAGCTCACATTGACCTCATTATTAAGACAAAGAAAGTTAAATATTTATTTTTCTTTTTACTTTCTTATTTCTACTCTTAGTTAGAGTGTTTAAAACCTTATATATTCCTGCTCCTCACAGTGCAAAACACTGCAGAATGACCCCTGCTGTAGTCAGCACTGTAAGTGAGAGAAGTAAACCTGTACAGTAAGAATAATCCAAAGACTATGGCTGTGTGTAGACAAAACAAGAGGCGTGTGCATATGACACTTTAAAGTGGGCTAAATGCTTTTGCACCACTTTAATGGTGTCGGTGTTTGCATGCCTTGGTGATGTATTGCACGTTAATTCCAGCCGCTGTAGGAAATTCAGTGGCATAATGCACCTTAAATGATTTGGGGTGCAGCAAACTAAAACTCCTCTGAGGAGTTTTAGTTTGCTGCCCCTACAGCCATGGAGAGAAGCACCAGGCTCCATGTAGCTCCAAGACTCTGTAGGAAGCCTTGGGAAAGCAGGCTCTGCCCAAGAAAAGCAGGGAGACTGATCCCCGCTCCCTCCTCCCCACCCCAACCCCCCTGAGCCTGCCCTCCTGCCTGAGCTGCACAGGGGCCCAGTGCTTCCCTCCGTGGCTGTGATGCCCCCCAGGACCATCCAAGCTGGGTGCCACTTGAGGAGGGGGAGGGGGGCACCGTTGCTGCCGAGGGAAGCACTAGCATCCCCCCACAGCCCAGCACCACTTTGTCCACCAGCAGCTCACCCTCCCCTCCCCACTGGACAGACAGATAAGTCAGCAGGGTGTGTGCATGACAAGGTATTTTTTAAAACCCACCACTTCAATTTAGGGCCCCCATTTCATCTACACACACTCTATGTAGTGCTATTTAGCATGCATGTGTGGCAACACATTTCTTTGAATTAAGCCATTCTTCCATTCTTTCAAAGCCACAGCTTCACTACTTTATAAGAGTGACTGAACATCAGCAGCAAGAGATATTTGAATAAATGCTGTCCTTTGGAATAGCATGAAAGTATTTTTTGGTTTTCTACAGTCTCTCCTCTATAACCTATGCACTCTTATCTGTGGGTTTGCTAAAGACATCACATTGTCTTGCACTGCATTTTCTAGCCCCAGGAGGTATGTTCTTTTCTGCTGTTCCACTCTCTCTTATTAATCTGTGTGATATATTGTTCCTTTCACCATTATATTAATCAAGCTCTATCATTCTACCTAGAAACTTTAATCACTTCATTGAACTGATGTAATCAGTACATGGCTGATATACTAGCTTTTGCACCTCTGGGCTCTGTATTTACAGCCCTGTTGTGCTCCTTTTATGTTCCATTGATCTATTTAAAAAAAAGAAGCAGCAGCAGCAGCACTACAGTATCTCTTGTCAATGGTGTACAATTAGTCCAATTAAAAAATCCCTGATAAACCAACCTTGCAATTTTGCTCTTGCCTTCCCACCATATTTTCAAAAACTTGTCAACAACAGCAACAGTCAGTACTGTAGTCTATCATTTTCAAATTGCAAAATGTGGCTTATTTTCTATTTGAAGAAGGCTCTTATATAGCAGCTAAGGTAAAGACCCTGTAATCCTGCATTAATAACAGAGATGGTACATAATGTGAACCACTCAAACAGACTTTTCCTAGTTTTCAAATGCAAATAGGAGTTAAGAAGAAAAGAAAGGAAAAGATTATAGTTATGCTTTATTTTTAATCTCTGTTGCTGAAGGAGAAAGCTCCTTGCTCTTGGCAATAGGGCTAGAAAATCCTTTACAAGGATGCAAATGCATGCTGTGTGCTTCATGCCTGCATCTGCTTTCAAGCACACACAATGAGGAACACATGCAGTGGGCTGAGATTTTGCAGATCTCCTGTTTGAATGCCAGTATAAGCCAGTTTCTAGAGGCTCTGAAACATGCCCCCCCCCCCAAAAAAAAAAAAAGCCCTCAAAATCCTCAACCCCACTCCAGTGTTTGATAGGGGATATTTATCTAAATGTCCTTGCGTTTGTAGAGGCAAACATTCTTAAGGGTGGTATCTTTTATTGGGTCAACTCTCTAGCTGCACTAGACATTGGCAAACATTCAGGTATCACAATACCCTTCCTTAGGCCTCTGGGAGAGAAGCAGACACAGCAAAGCTAAAACATCTGTAGGCTGTAAATCTGAAAGTGGGTCTGAAAACATGGCATGGAAAAAATCTCAGTTTTCAAGGAGAAGTGTTATGCCAATATGGGTATAGAAGTGACCACCACATGCATAGTGGTTTTGCCCAAATCTCCCGTGAGGTAATATTTCTCTGGAAGAAACAGAAGGTATTAATCAAATTTCATTTTAACAATGCTAGAACTAATGTTTACTGTTATAAGCTAGCAGGGAACTCACCTCCTTCTGCATGTTTTTCATCCTTGATACAAGTAGCATGTAAAGAACCATTTGGATCACAGGAACATGGCTGACATGGATTATGGTCACTTGGTAATACCTACACCAAAAAGAATATGAGTGAGTTTCAAAATAAAAATGATCTGACCTTTTAAAATTTAAAAACTAGTATGGTTTTTTAAAAATATAGAAAAACAAACAAAATCATAATCTGCTCAGGTGATTTAACAGTAATTGAAATGGCCCCTTCAAATCAGCCTATTAATTCACTATTCAGTCTAGATATTAACCTTAGCTTAGCTATTCAATTTTTACCAGAAAGATGCTCAAATATTTGAGCCGCAAACGTCATGTACATTAATGATTTTTTAATGCAAGCTGTCAACAAAAATATATTAGCGCTCTTTAAATTAAAGTGAATAAAAGCGCAGTTCAGTATTTAAACAACCCCTGGCTTTTAATACTGAAATTCTGTATCACCATGATAACAAATGAGAAGTCCCAATTATAAACAGAACAATTCATTTACACTGAAGTTCAGTGACATGCAATAATTAAAACAAGATAAAAGAAGAAAAGTGAAGATTAGACAACTGAACAATTCCTTTCATCTTTCAAAACATTACTCAAGACCTGAACTATATTCTAATATTATGCCTGAGATAAAAACTAAGTGTTAGAGTAATATAGGCGCCCAGAATTCCATCAGTCATGTAAGCAGCAATGGATTTAAAGAACAAAGCATGGAAATCAGTGTTGACTAGTTTATGGCTGGTAAATGCAATCATGCTTCCCTCTGTGAGTCCCCAACCACCCAAGGAGCCCATGCAGCTGCTCCTTTCATTTAGTTGCTTTCTACTCGATGTTGCTTGATGAACTGGCCACAAGGAAGCAGTCAAGCAGCAAAGAGCTATTACTTTTCCTGCAAAAGCTCACTAACACTTCCATTCTGTGCCTGATCCCCATTACAAGCCAGATCCAGGATGGCTGCAACACATGCTCATCTGTGCATTTTCATGCCTAACCCATAGTTCAGGACGCTTTACACTGACAAAACCTTTTTCGAAAAGAAAAAGTGCCTGAACTACACTGAACTTTGAGAATGTCTTCATATTGTTATTCCATTACTGTTAAGGCAAAAGTAGTAAGAGTAAAATTTCCAAATGTCTAAGTGGTTTAGGAGCACATATACCATTGAATGCCAATTGGGTTTGACCAGTTAAGGGTTTAAAAAAAGCCCACATCAGAGGACTCAATATACAAGAATTCCATTCTCAGCATAGCTAAACTCTTCCTTTGTGATCTGGACAACTCACAAGTCATACGTTCAAAAAAAGTATGGTTCTCCTGTATTGTCAGAAATCTGCCCACATTTTCGTTGCTCACAGCCTGGGATACAAACATAGTAACTGCTCAAGATTATGTGAGCATAGTAACTCTTCGACTTGTGCTGTAAGGTTAGTCAATCAATTGCTGAAGACAGATCAAAACTCTTTTTTAAACATGCTCTACTACTGCTACTCATGGCCTCAGTTAAGGTCAAGATGGAGTATCACCTGCAATACCTAATGAAGAGTTTCTGAAGAGATTTCCCAACCTTGGTTGAAGTTGACGGCATTGACAGAACACCTTAAAGAACATCAGTGGCTACATCTGTTTGACAGACTGCACTTAAATCATGATCAAGGCCTGGAGATCATAGCAATCAGGCTTACAAATATCACTGCTATATTTAAACAGCTTTTAAAAATTACAGATTCTCTTTTCCCTTAGCTCCACCACCCAGCAACAATTACAGCAATATTTCCCTGCTATCTGAGGGTGCACGTTCAAAATCTCTACTGATGCAAAAGCCGTGTTTACAGGATCACATCCTCCTTTAACTCAAACTGAAATTCTAGCTGCAGGCCCTGACCTCAAATACATTCTTTCGTATCAACCCAATTTGCTTTCATATTCCCAGGAACATTTACTTTACAAATTTCCAACTGTGAAAGATGGCTAGTAGGCTGTCAGAATTAGAACTTAACCTTCATAAAATGGCAATCAAAAGCATTTCTTCTGTACTTAATAACCTAACTTTTTACACACAAGTGATGGCTTGAACTACAAGAAATATATAAAGGCAACGGAAGAGCATATTTTACCTCTTTTGGCCTGAAGTAGCCATCAATGCAGGTCTCGCAGTTTATGCCTGCAGTGTGACTTGCGCAATTAATGCATACTCCACCCCCAATGTATTCTCCATAGACATTCAAACTCTGATTTCTGTCTGCAATAGTCTGATTATAGTAACATTCTTTTGTCTTCCCATGACAATTGCATGCTGGAAAACAAACAAACAAACAGAGACAACTATATTAGCAAAGATCACATCCAGGCTATAGACATGAAGAATTACTGAAGTATTAATAGCATTCATTCTTTCATTATTTTGACTTCTGTGCCATGTACATTGAAACAAATAGCACACTTACTCCTCAGCTTACTGCTTCTTCAGCCCTTAAAAATAATATGGTCCATTCACAAATGGTGCCTGGATTCCCGTATGTTATTTTTTCTGGGTTTTATCTTGGGGGTGGGGGTGGAATCTAAAAGCTTTTTTAACAATGCAGTCAATTTTAAACTAGTAATCCCATATTTTTCTGAATGCACACATTGTTCATGAAAAGATTAAGTACCATAAGGCGTACAAAAATACAAGCTCTACAAAAAGCTATTCAAATTTTAAAACTGTTATTGTCTCTTTAATTTTCACCAAAGCTAAATAGGAAGGTTAATGAGAGCCCTCTATTTACATACAATACATACTGGAGCTTGGCAGAACAGCAAGTCTGAAGCAAAAATCCTTCATCTTTCATAAGAGTTCAGATTTAAATCTACTCCCCTCTTTCCCACCCCCATCTGCATGCACCCTCACATCCCCCATTTTTGGTTTCAGTAGGACCCTGAAAGTGCAGCAAAAGAGAATATTAGTTCTGTTCATGAACTAATGGCGGGAGGAAAAAGCCTGCAAGATCTCAGCAGAACTGAATCAAATGCCTAGCAATGACTTGGCCCAAGATCCCAAACTGTAAGTACAACTTCACCAGGATACAGACAACACTTCTGCAACCCATCTTTAATATTTGGTAAATGAAGTTTGGCACCTTATTTGTATACATACATGTTGATAATTATCACTTCCAGATTCTAATAAGCAGGAATTCCCCATTCAAAGCTAACTGGGATGTCAGGGAATCATTTTGCTGACCTCAGGGTGCTTTAGATGAGATCCTAGGTGTCCATCTACAATTTTAGGTACAACCTTACACCCAAATCATTACAGAAATCAGATAAAAATGAATTATTAGAATAAATGTAGCTGCCCTTCTTTCATAGTGTGTTTTGGAAGCACATATACAGTGTAACATTCCATTTTAGCATGTTCAGAAATTAAAAAGGTTTGTGATATTTGCAGGTGAGCTGTTAAGCTACAGTAATGATTACTCTTATTAGGGTTAATCAGAAAATCTATTTCCAACCTGTTTGGATATCCTGATATTTTAAATGCTTTTTACTCTGAATCTGAGCACAAAAAAGTCATAATATGAGAATCTGTCATGAAAAGTAAATTCTTCAATATTTTAAGTAGGAGTGGAGTGTTGTAGCTGCAATGGTCCAGGATAGGGTTGTCCAAATTGTAAGCCATGCGGATGTTCTGCATGCCCACGCAGTTACCCTGCTCATCACTGCACTACATAGGTATATCAGTGCGATTCCCCAATGCTCTGTAATAGATGCCTGTGCATGTATCCCCACCACCCAATGCTGCACCATGCAGGTACAATCCTTCCTCCACATGGTACCCCATTCCCCGCCCCCCCGGCACAGCTCCAGAGTCACCCAAGAAGTGGACACCAAAGGAGGGATGGGGGAGCCTAGAGATGCCACCTGCTACTGCAGCTGGAGTGATGAGGGGAGCAGCAGCTGAGAAAGAGCTCAGAGGCTGCACATTCAGCCCTCCCAGGCAGCATGTGGCCTGTGGGCCACCAGTTGAACAGCCCATGTCAAGGAAATATTGAGGGACAAGGCATTTTTTGATCTCTTTCATTGGACCAGCAGTATGGATGGGACAAGCTTTCTGATGTATTGAATTGTTCAGTTTCGATAAGCAAAAATATTTGGTTTTGATGAAGGGAAAACATTTCTATAAAATATTAAATGTGTGTAAAAATATATTGGGGGTGCTGTACAGACAAATGTAGGTGTCTCACTGTGCATGTGAAGGCATGAGTTCAGGCCATGATTTAGTTATACTCATAGCAAAGGCTATCCCCAGTTGACTTGGATGTAGATGGGTACCTGGTTATTCCACCTGGAGATGTTTCCACATCACTCCCTTGTGTGCCACTAGCTACAGAATCTGGTGTGCCTTAACTATGCTAGCCCACTGGGCTAATGACAGGCAGATGGACCTTTGACAAATATCCTAAAACATATACTTTCATATAAAAGCTGCAATGAATCAAAATAAAAGCATTTTCTTTTATCAAAACAAGGTTCTGACATTATCAAAACAAAAAGAGAAAGCCAAAATGATTTGTTGACTTCCTACACTCAAAAATCTTCATCAAAATTGACATGTTCTCACAAAATACTTCAATTCCAACAAAATGTCATGTTCCTACACAAAAAACTGCTCAGTTAATTTTTTTTTTCTTTTTCTTCCTTTTCTTTTCTTCTGGCAGCTGTAACTATTGTGAGATTAAAAAAAAAAAAAAATAGAGTAGTTCCCAAGAGCAACGTGTGCTTTACAAACAAAATGGATTCTAAAGATATAGTTAGATTGAATGTTCACAGTGAATCACAGGTTAAGCTCTCTCTCTCGCTCTCTCTTTTCTCTTGTTGCTTTTTAACTTACGTTCACACTCATGTTTGGCCAGGAAAGTCCCAGCATGCCAAGGTTTTTGATTGAAACCGGGACAGCACTGGTCACAGGTCTTTCCACATGTGTTGTGCTCACATTCACAAATGGATTCCTAATTGATATAGAAAATAAGGAAAAGTTATTAACACCATGTGATGATCTGGAGCTTCTTTATATAATTTATAAATTCTAGTTAATATTAGGAAACAGTTACTATGAAAATTTCCATTTTCTGTAATGTCTCTGTGTATCCAGCTTAGGTTGTCACCTAGCACAGTGGTACCCAACCTTTTTGCCCTGTGGGCTAGATGGGCAGTGCCAGGTGGGCTCACTCCTGCACGTGGGGCCAGCACAGGGGGGGCCCATTCAGCTGCAGGAAGTATGCAGCCCAACCCCAATCTAGACATGTGGGGGTTGGGGGTTCGGGTGAAGAAGCCATGATCCAGACACACAGGGGATGGGGCAGAGTGGCCCCAATCCAGACACATGGGGGAGCTGAGGAGCAGCCTAGCCATGATCCAGATGGGATAGGTGGGATGGAGTGGCTCCTATCCAGATGCAAGGGTAGCAGGGAGCAGCCCAGCCCAATCCGGATGCACCGGGGGTGGGTCTGGTCCCAATTTTACTGCTTGGCAGTGGCATGGGCAAGACTGGACCCCCCTGTGTGGAGCTTCAACTGCTCCTCAGCTGCCAGTTTTTCCAGGAATCCCCGCAAGCTGAATTTCGTGGCTCTGCAGGCCAGATTTAGCCCCGCTCTAACATATACCAACCACACTAAAAAAAATTATTTAAACTTAGAAGCTCTGCTTCAACTGAATAATTGGTATACTAAGGAAGTTAGCTGTATCTAGGAAAAGTTGAACCTCTTACCTATTTCATTTGGGGAACAGAAACAGGACTGAAAAGAGCAAAGAAGCCAAGGTATTGATATACAAACAGCCCCACAGAGCCACACTGGTAGCCTTTGGGCAGAGAAAAGCAGAGAAAGCCATACTTTCATAATGTGGAGACTTCAGTTTAGCTGTGGGATAAATCAAGTCCAGTGACAGCAAGCTGAGCTGGAGACACTCCATAGTATTGGAAATAAAATATAAGTTGCACGGAAGGGACTCTGGATAACAAACCAAGGATGTTCCAGACAGAGAGAAGTGAGGCATGCAAATGTATGTAGGTTATATTACGTGTGTGTGTGTGTGTGTGTGTGTGTGTGTGTGTGTGTGTGTGTGTGTGTGTGTGTGTGTGTGTGTCATATACTTTTGAAGAGAGGTCTTTAAAAGTTAGTAGTCTAGCATGCCCATGACTGGTTTTCCGGGAGACGGTAAGTAAATTACAAGGGAATCCTAGGGAGTTGGTAATATTTCTAGGGCTACTCAGTCAAACCACAGGTCCCCACTCTAAGAAGTTTAACTAGAATAACTTCAGACTAATATAAAGTCTACAGGTCTTAAACCAGGGACAGTCTCTGACTTTGCTTAAGCACACTAAGGACAGTGAATCAGGACCCAATGCAGCAATCGGATGAATTTCAAAAAGGGAAATTAAACTAGATCTGTGACAGCATCATGTTTGGTTAAAGCATAGAGTAGAGGACCAAGAAAAGAGCTTTGAGACAAATACATCTCATTAATATAAGAAAACCAATTCATTCAGGACATGTATCTTTTTATATTATCTAGATATCTTCATGCATTATATTTAAAATCTAGTTCTCTTCATACATCTGAAATATTCAAGTGTCCTTTTCCAGTAAAGCATTTATGCAAATTAATATAAACAGTCTACCTAGATCAGATTCTGTGTGCACTTCATTTACTTTGTTGTACTTATAATAATTTTAAAACAATTTAGGCAACATAAATTTACTCAGAGGTAAAACCAGATACTTCACAATACTGCAACCCCTCCCTGTGTTGCACAGGCAGAACATGCAAACAGTTTCTCCAGAGAACCTATTCTGGGTCTGTAATATGAGCATTATTCCTCCAAGGCAGGTTCAATGCAAACAAATAATACTGAGGCTAAGATCGTAGTGTGACAGCTGTTCAATGAGAGTAACTGCAGGAATCGTTCAGCATTTGCTATAAAGATCATTATTCAAAAAGCTTATAAGGATTAAATAAGTAAGATTTTACACAATTTTAATGGGTTTCTGTAAACATTTCCTTTTTTTGTTTAAAAGAATAATATAAAATGGTTATTTTCTATTAATCCTACAGAATGGCTCAATATCCTAAATAAATATTTTAGTTTTCCTATCTTCTCTATAAGGGAAAACTCAGGGTAGAAATATTACAATCTACTTAGTAACAGCATTATAGAGCTAGGTAGTTATTTCAGAGTTAGTGTTTAAGGCCAGGTACAGACATTACTTTTACCTGTATAAGTGATTGGAAACCAGTTTATACCTGTAACAGGACAGATATTTGGTGCACACAGACTGGTTCAAAAATGACAGAATCCAGTCTAAGATTTGTACCCTGCACCAAAGGGCGAATGTATGTTCGGTTCGCTACTGATCTAAATTACAACACTTACAGAAAAACCACATAACTTAAATCAATTCCACCTTGGGCTTTTTGAATGTCTGGTCCTAGACTATGTGTACACACATGTGCCTGGAATTGGGAGGTGGAGGAGCAAACTTAAGCTAGGCTTTTTGTTTGATTCTGATTTTTTTTTAATTTCCGGATAGAGTTGATCTTAAAAGGATAAACATATAGAAGAAAAAAAAAAAATGAACCAGCTCATGATTTTCAAGAGCAATCAGGAAATGTTAACTGAACAATAAACTAATATGGTCAATAGTAGGACTATCATTTATTTACAGCATAGGCATAACTAAGTGTGTTAGCCCCCTGGGCCAGGGGGGAGGGAAGGGCACGTGTGTGCTGAGCACCAGAAACTGTGGGGAGGAAGGATGCCAAGCATGAGAGACCTACCTCCATGCATACAGGCTGCAGCTGCAGCACAGGCAACCTAGCAGCTGCCCTTCTAGTGTCTTCTCAAAATCAATGTCCTGCTCACCCACCCCTCATTACACTAGTGATGTACAGGCATCCATTAAATTAGTAAAAATATACTTAAGAAAAATCTTGATTAATATCATGGAAGAAAAGAAATACTGACTTACAAAGTTCTTCATTCTGATTGCCAAAATTGTTGTACTCTGGCACAGGTTTTGATTATACTAAATGAATAGCATATACCAAATCACAGAATTCTGTATATGGGAAACTTAATAAGTTTATGGTCTGCATCATAAATGAGACACTCAGAAATATACATACATTTGTTTCTGGATCCAACGGACAAGCCCTTGCATGGCCAGAGCAGATACACATGCCTCCAACTGATATATCTTTTATGGAATAATAATACTGTAAGACAAAACAGAAGAGGAATTGCCTTGTGCATGGCAAGCTGCAGGTGACTTGAGTTCAAACTTCTTTCCTTGTAATAGAACTGTCAGCTCTTATTTTATTCCTTTTTTGATCTACTGCAAATACAGAAGATGGTATAGTAGGTAACTGTTTCATGATCAACAGATTCAGGCCCAAGTAACACAGAAATGGGATCATATTTTCTGCTGGTATGAAGTGGTGTAGCTCAATGCAAGTCTGTGGGCTGCATCAGTTTTCACAGCAGAGAATATGGCTTACCAATTCTTAAACAATTCTCACATATAAACCAAATAAAGGCTGACAGATGCATAAGATAAAATGAGCAGGTCAAATGTAATGGATTTTACTCCCCTGAAGAAAGAAAACTCGGAACACACAGTGAAAGGAGTGGCTAATAATGGAGAAAGGCTATCAGGCTTTGACTTAGGGGGCTCTTGATGTCCATTTTCACCTTGCAGAAATTCATTCATATCCATTTTTTTCTCCCCAAACAGTCAGGATTACCCATTCCTGAGTTGGAGCTCATGTCATTATCATGTTTCCTACAAGCAACAGTAGGATGCCAGATGAAGTCCTGAAATGGTAGGTACTAAATTATGGAAAGCTAAATGAAAATACATAGTAACTACTGTGCAGAAATGTATACACAGTTCTGCATCCTCTCTTTCCTTTTAAACTGATCGGGTAATAACAACAATAACAATAATAAATAACAAATCAGAAGGATAGTTGGTTTAGTGCAATAATGTGTTCAAGGAAATTTAAATGAAGAGGTGCCAGAAGGGTCACAAGGAATTATCGATCAGCAACATCCTACTGAATATCATAATCTCCAAATTTTATATTCAAAGCAGCACAGGCAGTGGCTTCTCACATTAATAACACTGTTAAACAAAAAATGTAAACAAACTCTCTTCTGCTCCTGAAAGGGAAACAAAACACAGAAGAAGGGGGAGCTATTTATCTGTCACCAAGAGTTTGGCAGCTAAACAACAGCTACTCATATTCTTTCAAGGTTCCCTATGGTGATGAAAGGCAGGTATAGTATTGCTAAAACCAACATAATTCCTATGCATGCAGTTCTGTGATTTGGCCAGAACTTACCCTCCTCGTAACTATGGGGTCTATTTCAGTGGGATCTTTGTAAGCGAACATCATTAAATCAGCATTCAGTGTTCGTATCCTCTGAAACCTCAAACGAATAAAACGCGCTGAAGTGAATTCCAGCAGTACTGGGGAAGGATCATCAGCGCTAGGCCGTCCATTGATCAGTGATGTGTGAATCTAAAAAGAGAGAATTATTAAAATGATCAAGTAAAACTTTTATTGCCTGTGAAGCTGCCAGCAAGTGTCACTGATATCAGGACAATACAAGCAAGAGGACAAAGGAATGTATTCTATTTCAAATATATTCATTTTGAGAAAGCCAATACAATATTTCCGGGTGGGTAAGCTTCCACTTGTTCTAAATCCAGAGTGGTTTACAATTAAAGCTCATTGGTTGATTCCAGCCAAACAACATACAAATGCTTAATGATAATGCCCATGCCTTATGCAGATACATTCTTCTATTCTAGGCTGATCTGCCATGGAATCTGCATGCTTGAATCACTAAGCAAACTGAAACCATTCAACAAAATGAAGGGAAAGAAATTAGTAGTGGGAAGTGTTCTTGAAAGTCCTGCCAGGAAAAAAAAACCAACCCTCATATATAGCTAAATACCATTACTGAGCACCTTTTGGAAAACCAAAACACCTCATCCTGGAATCCTGAATATTACATCCTGATGGGGATAGATGGTACCGACTAAAGAATAGGAAGGGAGCAACTTGATTTTCAGATTCCATGCTGAATATGCAGGGCTGGAATGGAGAATGAAGAAGCTATCTATATTATTTTTTATGACTATCATATGCACCTCAGCTTCATATTCTAATATTATCCTGTCTGACCCACAGAATTAAATTAAAAATGGCTGGGGGAAACTAAAGAGGAAATGAAACCCTGATGAAGATACGGTATCATTAGGAAGAATACCAACTGGCCTTAAGGAAATAGTGAGGGAGTTATTAATTAATAAAGCCCACTTTCCTACCTTAGAACAGGCTAACACCTTAATTTTTCCCTGAGCCTGGGATCAAGTAACATCAAACCACAAAAATCTCTAGCCTAAAAAGAAAATGGTTGAGAAGTCAATAGCT